GATGTCTAATGTTTACTCAGTGATGATCACATGATGTCTGATGTTTAATCAATGATGATCACATGATGTCTAATGTTTAATCAGTGATGATCACATGATGTCTAATGTTTAATCAATGAACTCATTATGATAGCTTATCTGTTAGAGGAATATCTTTCTTTAATTACAATTATTTGGAATAATTGTTTGTTTTATTGTTGGTGAAAAACATTTGTTAAATTTGTTTTTAACGTTGATTTTGTTATGTTGTTGTTTTGTTGACATTTAGGTTTATTTTGTGTAAAGAAGACGAGCTTGCAATAAGTTTCTTGTTGATTATTTATTAATAAAACTGCAGTTGTGCTTTCAAAATATCTGAAAATGAAATAACTTGTGAGAATGACATTATCATGAGGAGGAAGTGATCTGATGAAACATTCACTGACCTCTTCTGGTTCTGTGTCTCCGTGTTCCAGCTGAAGTTCTAGTCCAGGTGTTGTTTTGCATGTCCAAGATGGCGGATCCTGGCAAAATTCTTGGCTGCCGCTCCGTACTTGATTGTTAAGTTGTGTTAAATTTTGCTGTTTAAATGGATCCCAACGCTAAAAACCTGAACGATAAAGTTGAGCTGCTTGTTTGCGGCTAGATATTGCCGTCTACCATCCAATCTACTCAAACATCTTCACTGGATTAGCCACACCAGATCAACCTACCGTCTCCATCTGCCAAAGCTACCTCCGTGCTAGCCCCGTCTTGCCGCTGTTATGCTGTGGATCATCCCGTTGATACTCCTGGGTCGCACATCGCTTCTCCTCTCACGGATAGCCGGCTCTTGGTCACCAGCTAATGTTAGCTTATCGCTAGCGCTCCCCAACCGGACCATGCCGCCACTGTACTCCACGTCAGATCTTCACAACTTCAACAACCACCTGTGTCCGGACTGCATGGACATTCTCAAAGAACATGGAATACTTCGCCGAGGCCATCCTTCACACAGAGGTTTTGGCCGCATGTTCACTTACAACTTCACGTCCCCAAACTCCATCCCATCCCTCTGGTCCTGTCGCACCCGAATGTCCTTGTTATATCACCACAACAAACAACACGTGAATCTGTCCAATCTCCGTCCCCTTCCTCAGTCCTCACAGCCTATCACAAAGCAACGTCACCTGAAACTGGCTTTGCTCAACACTCGCTCACTCAACAACAAAAGCCTCATTCTGAATGAATTCATAACGGACAGTAACCTTGATTTCCTCTGCCTCACTGAAACATGGCATAAACCCCTGGACTACTTCTCACTGAACCAGACCACTCCCACCGGATTCACATACATTGACAAACCTCGTCCTGAGGGGCGGGGAGGTGGTGTTGCTGCTGTTTACAGGAAGGACATTAAAACAACCACCATTCCCATTCCTGCCGTTCATTCTTTTGAACACCTTGCCTTCAAACTCTCTGGTCCCACTCCTTTGGTTACTGCTGTAATCTACCGTCCCCCCAAGCCAAATCCCTCCTTTCTCTCTGACTTTTCAGATTTTTTGACTCAGCTATGTGCCATCTCACCTTCCGTTCTCCTCCTAGGTGATTTTAACATCCACATTGATAACACTGACTGTACATCTACGACAGAATTCCTGGAACTACTACAATGCTTCAACTTCACACAACATATCAACTTCCCCACTCACAGCCGAGGTCACATCCTGGATCTGGTCTGCACCACTGGTCTCACAATACCGCAACTCTCCAGCCTCAACCTCAACATCTCTGACCACCTGGCTATCACCATGGACATTGACATCCCTATCCCCATGCCAAAAACGAAGCGCACCATAACCTTCAGAAATCTCAAATCTATCTCCCCCACAACTCTTTCAGCCTCTCCAGTACCATGTCTGCCTCCCCTGCCCCGCTGTCTGATAATCCCTCCGATCTTGTAAACTACTACAACAACACACTCTCCTCCTGTCTTGATCAACTGGCTCCCATCAAACCAAAACTGTCTCATTCACACACTCGGCTCCCTGGTACACTCCTGAACTCCACCAGATGAAATCTCGAAAGCGCCAGCTTGAAAGACTCTGCAAGAAGACTCTG